CCCCGCCCCAGTCCCAAGCCCCACCCCTTCCCAGTCCCCTCAGGGCTAACGTCAGCCTCCAAACCTGACTCCGCCATGGACCCCGGCCTCGCCCCGCCCCTAGCCCTGGCTCCTCCCGAGGCCCCGGCAAGAGTGAGCTAATTGCACCTCGGCGCATCGAAATTCCCACCCACCCTCGCACAGAGCGCACCCCACCCCGCACCTGCCAGCCTTTCCTGGAGAATTGGGTGCAGGGGCCCTGGGATTGGCTGTGGCCACGCATTTAGAATTCAGTTATTTTCTCTGAGCCATAGTCCTCGCTGCAAACCCTGTTGAAGTAGGGGTTGGCAGAACCCAGGAGTTCCTAAAGGCGAAGGGTTTGAGCTGAAGGGCGCTTCCAGGATCCACAAGGTCACTGGAGACCTGTTTTTCACCCCCTCAGAGGGCAAAACGAAAAGAAAAATGGATTAGGAGAGGCGGCCGTCCATGTGACGTCATTTCTGGGTTGGGTGATCCTAGCCCAGTTGTTTAACCTCCTTCAACTTCAGTTTTCTCCTCTGCAAATTGAATTGAGGTTGATCACACCACCCAAAGGGGATGATAGGTAATGCACATAAAGTGTTTGGCACAGGAAACTAACACGAAATGGGAGATAACGAAGGATTATTTTGTTTTAGTTTTTGAATTATTATTTGAACTGCTTCCTAAGAGGCTTAATTTAGACCTAGTTTAGACCTGGCGTTTAGGTGAAGGAGTCTCTATGTTCAGTGACAGTGGGAAGAGATGAACATTGTTCTGGGAAGAGTGGGGCTTGCCCTGGAGGTGGGAGAATGGAGGAGGCACCCTTCCCAGGTGTTCTGTCTCTTCCTGAACTGTAAAGATGGGGAGTGGGGACGGGCAGGAAGGATGAGACCAAAATGGGGAGAAGAGATGGCCAGGTTTGCAAAGCCAAGGCTGTCAGAGTGGCTGTCAGTGGGAGGTGATCCCAGAGCCCATTTACCACCCTCTACCCTCCAACACCCTCCCTCTCCCCTCTTCCCTCCCACTCACTCACCCCCCCTTTACAGAAGAGGAAACTGAGGCCCAGAGAGGGTAAGTGGCACAGGCCAGACCAGACCTTCCTTGACATTGTATTCCTCAAGCGTGGCAGAGTGCCTGACTCTGAGAAGACGCTCATGGGGTTGCCAGTAGAAGCCACATTGAGGAACCCTGGAGAAGCCAGAGAAACTGAGGCCAAATGTTTGGGGCCTTGAGGGGAGATCAGAGGTCCAGCCCTCACCTCCCAGGACTGCCAGCACTGGCCCATGAACAGGGTAGTAGGGTGCCTTTTATTCCCACTTTGAAATATCCACAGCCTGGTTGCTCCGGAGCCTCATCATCTAAATCCATCCACAGGCATACTGAGCTATGTGAAAACTGAAACTCATAGGGAAGC